CTTGTTCCCACTTATCCTTGTCCTCCACCAAAAATACTTTCCTCTGTAAGGTGCATCATTTGCATGTGTTATCTTCTTTTCTTTAAGTTTTCCATAAAGGGCATTGGAAGCATGGGACCATGTGATTTCATTAGACACTATCCTATTGCCTATAGGTACTTTTACTTTTAATACTTTTCCTGACTGTACTTACATATTTAAGTAACATTTTCAATGCAGGAGTCTTTTATATAAAAAAATTACTTGAACAATGAGTCTTACAGTCACTGATGGACAGGTATGATATTATAAGAGTCTGACAACAACATTGACAATCTGACAAATGACAGGGAGTGACTGTCGTTTCTGCAAGAACATCCATCTATACATCCATTTTCTAAACCTCTTGGGGTGCTGAATGTCACTGAGGAACCCCCAGAGGGCAGATGTGGAGAAAGAGACAAAAGACAGACATGAGAAAAAGTTGATGGAGTTGGAGCAGGCGTCGTCAGGAATGACATACAACTCAGGTCCAGGGCAGTTTTGAAGCTATATTGAGTGAAAAAACTACCCTGAGACAAACTGGGGTAGCAAAACAATCAGCACTCTCTTTAAATAATAAAAGCTTTAATCATGAAAAATTATTATTGTGGGGATTTGTTACTTTATGTATTCATGTAAAAAAATAGCTTAATCAGACTGTTGCTTTACTCACTGTGTTGGCTGGAGTCATATTGTTGTTAAGTAGCAACTTACAATTATTTTAAATAACTTTGGTGAAACAGATCACAGGCAACAGTTAAAAGGTATCAACTCGTTATTGTATGAATGGCACTGACTTGAAAAACATTGTCAGATGGATTTCAGCATCTCCAGAAATTCTAATCCAACTTTAGACCTGCTTGTGGTAGATGCATTTTGGCCTGTCTTGATACCAACCCCTAGTCCACCTACCATAACAAGTTACTGGCCTCAATACTTTTCCGTACTTTACAAACAACATTTTTGACATCAGCCTTGGGCTTAGAAAGATGTCTGCCCAGCTGATTGGTGATTGTAGTAGAAATTAGTAGAACATTTTTTGTTTACTCACTGGCGGAGACATTTGTAGGGTGACATTTCACAATGTGATGTGAGTTTTTGGCTGTTGTGAGTGTGTGTTTAGGACTCAGTTAAGGTGTTCAGGGCTTAATTCAGCTGAACATCTGTGATGTTAGCCACTCATTTGATTACTCTAGTGAGTGCCAAGTCATATAACAGCTCTTTTTGGCAGTAGTCAAACATACTAGCTGCTTCTGCCATCTTTATCTCAATTGTGAGTCCATAAACAACAGCAGCAACCTGAGTACGACCTCAGAACTGCTGCAGAAAGGTTAAAGGCCAACCTGCATTCCTCTGCCAAAGTGTTGTTTGAGGCCCACCATGCATTAAACACAGTAAGGGCAAAGAGCGAATCTGGGTGAACTAAAATAGATGTGGCGAACTGTTTGAGGTGTTGAGGCAGTGGGGAAAAACCTTGAAGAGGATTCTGACATTAGGAGGAGCCTTGATGATAACTTGGGAGATTCCTAATCAATATCGTACATTTTTAATCCTTTGTTTTTTTAAAAGTTGTTTGTAGATTAACTTTGACACACCTTATTTTTCACAAGCTACTTCATTTAAATGCTGAAAGTCCTTGTTCAAAATAATTAACTTTATAAGTTTAAATTATTGGTCTAACAAATTAAGAAATAGCTTGAAGCAATCAATCAGCAATAGAAGAATGTGGGATGTTACAGCAGAAGGTCAAGATGTCTTTTTCCTTTTTTAAAAACATTTCCTTAAATAGTTTGACATTTTGGGAAGCAAGCTTATTATTCTTCTCGCCAAGTGTTGGATGAAAAGATTGATGCCACTCTCGTGTCTGTCTGTTAAATTCTAAGGCCACAGCCAGCAGCCGCTTAGCTTATGGGGCGTTCTTTTTGTCTTGTAATCGCGACTAGCAGCTCGAGAGTGACGTCACATCCATGTTGGAAAACGACTAACTGCGGGTTTTTGCGTTCTGTTTGGCACACAACACAACAAGCTTGGTTGCAATAGGCAGTTTGGACGTTTCGTAACGTTTATAGTGATAATCTCTTTTACGGTGCACCCACCGCGGATTTCACATGTTCATTACATATTACACAATCATATTCACAGTTTGTTATCTGAATATTCCTTTTTGATTAACGTTAACGTTAGGCTACTGCTCTGCTTTCTGCTCAAGACTCGGCATTGTTGTCATAGCAACATGGAGCATCTCTAGCCAATTTCAGCTGCACAAGCTACAAAATAACTAATTAGGCGGTATTTAACAGATATAGACATAATAAGACTGTAGCGACATGCCTATAGGTAACAGTATACGGTGCTGTGTGTACGACTTCTTCATTTGGTTACAACAAAGACAAAAGTGCTTAAAATAGTAGAAAACCACAATGTTTACTTAGTGTGATGCTCGTAGTAGCCATCTGAACTCGGGGTCCTCTGAGTTCAGACGACTTGACGAGTCGTATATACGACCTCGGGGTGTTCTGTTTGCAACTTCCGGTTCGTAACTCAGGAAACCGACTCGGAGATCAAGTTCGGTGGACAAATAGAACGCCCCATTAGCTTAGCACAGCACTCTGTCCAAACGTAAAATAAAAATAAAAATCTGCTTTATTTTTTTAATCTACACAAAATGTAAAAATTACAAGTTGTGGTTTTATGTTCTATACTATTTCTTGGGTGGGAGTAGTGACTTCCTAAAGTCATCAGTGTAACGTTGGCAGACAGTGGATCAGTGGATCCTCCTGGAAATGACTGTGCCTGTGTGTTTTTATGGATTAAATGAACAAGATATAGCGAGTTAATTAGTAGTGCATGTAGCCCCTAAAGTCGACTAAACCATTAGTAGCTGAGAAGAAACACATAATGTGGTGGCATTATATTTCCTAAAAAGGATGTTTTGGAACCATTAAGTGCACATCAGTTTTAGTTTTTGTTCCTGAAAGTTTGACAGTCCTTAACTTGCGTTGCTGTCTGAGAACCGCGCATACAAAATCTATTCTTTTTGGAACAATGCAGGAAAGGGCTGTTACACAACAAAAGGATATTTGAGGAGGATAACAGTAGAGTGTACTGTCTTTATCCAACCATTATTTGGATAACCTTTTGTGCTCATTAGTTTCATTCTGTCTGAATTATTCTCTCACCCTGTGAATTATATGGTAACTTCTCAAGTACAAAAAAGTACATTCAAAAACTTTGGAAATTACTCTTTTTCCCTACCTTGTTATATATTCTTGACCCAGAAACTAAATATACTCCAGAAATCTCAGTAGTGTGTTCAAGTGAATCCTTTCCAGACAGTTAATTCCTCTTGAAATGTGAGCAGGAAAGCCCAGTCAAATACCATGTTTTTTTTTTTAGAAGTAAGATGAATTTATGTTTGATCAGAAAACACTGATGACTGTAAATGTCCCTTTTTCAGTGATGCATATACACCCCCTGCTACGTTGAAAGCAGCAGTAGTCCTCTGCTGAAAGAGGCTACTGTCAGCTGAAGTGAATGTATTTTTTCACATTCAGTTTTGGGCTTGATTCAGTTTTATGACAGCTGTCTTCCATACCACCCCCACCACAGACTGCTGAGACAAGACATGTACATAGAACATGATGCAAACTGAATAATTTAAGGAGGACAAACTTGTGTAAAAGAAACTGAATACAAGTTTCCTCCCAGCTTGGCGAGGAAGTAGGAAACTATAGGAAACTTGGAAGCCCACTGCTCTCATTTATTTTGTATTGGGTCTACATTGAAACAAAGACAAGTGGTGGTTAGTGGAAGAGTTAAGGTAAACAATGCAATTAACTATCATAAGATATTTGCATTTTCTAAAGGCTGCCTATGTTTTCTTTGTTAAAATAAACTCCAATTAGCACCTTTTTAAACAGCAATGTATTTCAGATTTAATGAGTCATATGTGTGTCTTTTGAGTGTCTTTTTTAAATTACTTGATATTCAACACATTGTCTAAAAGATGTTATTTTATCTATATTTGAAAATGCATAATGAGGAAATTTTTTTGGAATGGAAAAACATTGGTTCTACACAGATGGGTCACAAATTAGAAAAAAAACAAGGTCTTGAGCCACCAAAAGCCACCAGAATAGCTCCAATGAGCCTTGGCAGAGATGTCTACTGTGGAACTGAAGGGATCAAACACTTTCTGTATGGAAAGTTAATTTATCTGTCTACACGTTCCATAGCTTTTATTTTACCAAATGATAGCCTCTTCATTTTGTTAACTGTTATTGACCAAGAAGAACACCAGTAATTTAGGATTACAAAGTAAACTGTAAAATAAATGAAATAAAAGACATTCTTCAATGCACATGAACTGTTCATGAGTGCTGTGTGGACTGGGCTTTAGCCTCTAAAGTCTAATTTTATGCTCACTAAAGCTGGTTAGTTAGTTAGTTAGTTAACTTTTGTATGTTTTATTTTTGTTTTTGCTTTGTTTGGATACATTTCAGTTGTTTCAAGGAGAGACATTTGACTTAATTCAATCTCTGAAAAAAGCACGGGAGACCTCTTTCTTAAAATTAATTGCAAGGACATAATCATACAGTAAGAGGACAATACATTTCTGAATGATTTTGACTCCGTATGCATTATGCAGAAACCACTTAGAAATTGTGATGTCACAGTCATGTGGCTTTGTGAAAAATTAAACTGCATTGATGAAAAAGAAAAATGAATGATGGAACCACATTGTTTCAAAACGGAGGCTCTGTTATGAAAACAGTACTCCAGGCTCCTGTCATTTCTTTCTTCTTTTTTTTTTGTAGAGCTATCAATGTAGTGAAAGTGACAAATAATGTGTTTAATGAGGAGTTTCTTTTAGCAGTTGGCATTCTGTAACCAGCAACCTGACTCCCTTTTTAAAATGAACCTCATTGTTGCGTCTTTCAACAAATGAGGACTCTGAAATCAAAGTGTAACACTCCAAGAACTTTTATAAAAGTAGTCATTTTTTAATTAATTTTCAGTTAAGGCAATCCAATACAAAGCATTTCACAACCCACCATATGACAATAATCATGTACAATAAAAACCCATTTAAAGGAAAGTAGGGAGTCATGCAAATCAGGAAACTCAAGAGATATAAACAACAAAGAACTGTGGGATTAGACAAAAAAAATAAAAAAATAAAAAAGTGTCAACTGTAACATGCTAATTAGCTACAGTCTTTAACCACTGGTGAGACAAGAAATGTTTGGAGAACCAGGCACAAGAGAGAAGAAAACAGTCCACAGAACTTACTGCCATGTTTGGCAATGACATGCATGTAATCTGGTTGGGCTGGTTCCTATTTTACAGATGGGAGCACTGTGGGTAAAACACTCTGCAATGTACCCCAAGAAAACATGCAGTCGATCCATCATAATAAATAAAATCAGGGCTTTAAGAGGAAATGAAGTCATCGTACTGACAGTGATGACGGGAGAAATGGCTTGTCATACAAACTCCAAAAATAAATAAATAAATAAATATCTTCAAAACAGTCGTTTTCCCAAAAATATATCAAACATATACAATAAGCACTCCTCTCAAGAATAAAGTGCTGTTGGGATCTATATGCAAACCAGCTGTTACATACACTTTATATTCTAATACGAGTCCACTCTAATCTTTTCACTGTTAACTGTTTCCTCTCTTACACCACACAAAGATTCACAAATAAATTGCAATTTGCCATATTGACCACCATTAACTAATTTTCTTTCCTCCACCTAAGAGCCACACTAATCCACCTAAACTGCTTTCCAAAACAGGACTAAATGAGATGGAGTGACTGCCTTTCACATTATTAAGGCCTTTATTTTGCTACATTAGACATTTGAATAGAATATTTTCAGCTCATATTAATTCTGCTTCTGCATCACTCTGTCAGTTTGAATGGAAAGGACACCTTTTAGAGCCTATTATACTCATTGTAGCATTGTTTTAGCAATTGATTACTCTACAACAATAAGTGGCGCATCAAGGTAGTAAACAAAACAGAGTGAGACTGGAATAATTATACTACAATAAGAACAATGGCCATAGTGAAAGAGTTACACTGCAAGAAGTAGAAGTAGGAGTTAGAAGCACTTTCTGTCCATGATACAGCTGCTAGAGGCTCTGTGAGGCAGCACAAAGTTGTGTTTTAAGCTAAATACTAAACATGCTAACATACTTACGATGATAATGCTACTGTGCTGATGTTTAGCAGGTAGCCAATTTTCACCGTTTTACTTTAGCATGTTAGCATGCTAACATTTACTAATTGGCACGTAACCCAAAGGCTGAGGCTGATGGGAATGTCAGTTGATTTTTGGTCCTAAATAGATTTCAGGGAATCACCACAGTCATTAGGATACATCCCCTGGGGACAATGAAATTGAACCCAAGTCTGAATCCAAATTTCAGTTTCAGTGTTGGACTGTCCATCATTGTCATCCCTACAGCTTCACTGCTAGCGTGGCTAGAAAAATCAATAAACTAGGTAAATGAAGGATCTACATCCCATGAATATCCCTTTTTTATGCAGCATGTGTATGGCTGCTCTCAATCTGAACCTTTCTACATCTACTGCATGAGCAGGGTGTCCTGTTCCTTTTATAACTACATCATTACCCTTTCTACTTTAGGCTTTGTACTAGAAAACAAAACAAATCGGAAGGAAAAATTGTCTGCAGCTTGAGCAAAATTACTGTGTGGTTTGTTAGATGATGGGCATGATGGGAGACAAAACGTATTTCGAGTGATACATTGTATTCTGTACTTTTTTGAAAAACGTTCTTCTCCTTGTGTCTGTTTTAATCCTACTTCTCCCCCACATCATATTCCTTTTAAATGTTGTCATTTTTAGAGTATGATCGCACTTTTGTAAAGCAACACATCATAGGACCATCAGGAATTGTAGTTGGATCATTGTGCAAAGATGCATCTCAAATTATAAGCTCTGTTACTGATGCGGTAAAATTAGATTTGCTACGTAGAAGCCAGTTTCTTTTTGTTTCTTCACACTAAACTGACGTCACAGATGGTAGGAGGATACAGAAAACTAAGATTAGCACAGAAGAATCCCTCTTTACCCTTTGGTAAAGACAGATTGTTAATGTGTTTACACATGAAAGAATTACTTATGTAGCCTACTGAATGCAATGAAATTAATCCCATAACTCTGGAGACCACTTGTGAACGGTCTCCCACCAGAGACTTGTAGCACACTGTGGCAAGGACTGGGCTGTATTAAATGTAAATCTCCAGGGAGGAACTGTGTGATCGTACTCACTCACAGTGTGAAGTCTGTGGTGACAGAGGTTATGTGGCTGCTGATGCGTGGCCACTGGGGGCTTACGGATTTGCATTAACATGGGAGTCTCTGGGTTGCAGAGGTGGTATGTTTGTAATAGTATAAGAGCCGGATTAACCCACTTTTGGGCCCTGGGGCAAAAGATGATGAGATGAGATATAGGCCCTAATTAATCACTGTGTCCCTGTGGTTTTCCCAAGTCATTTAACATAAACCAACCAGTGTTCCTACAGTGGAGTGTCACAGTTCCCCCATGTTTGAATGAGTGATATTGTAATTTTCTTACCTTCTGTGTATATTGTGCTTTAGTGATATATATTACCAAAAAGGGGCAATTAACCAAATTACCACATAGTAATGTGGAGCAGTTGCCCATTTTGCAAGTTTGGTGGCCCAGCTATGATAGAATTTATTACATGTTTGGTTATATTTTGTATTCTTTATTTATTTGTCCTGTTTCATGGTCCGTCTTTTCCTTATGTGGTATTTTGTAGTTACTGCATTACAAAACCAACCAACCAAAACAACTTTTTTGTCTACTATAAAAATAAAAATAAACAGGGGCAGGGGATGATAAATTGGTTGATGTTGTTCTTGTACATGCTTTCCGATGGGAATTTATCCTTACTTAATGAGACAATGACAATTGCAGATGCAATACAAAGATATTTGACTTGCATGAATAAACTGGGTCCTTTCTTTAGAAACAATATATAGCAGCACTCAAAATGATTAAATATGAGTAACCTGGTATCAAAGTCATAGTCTTGTCCTTGGTATAGAGACAGGTTGTCTTGTGCTTTTTATATGCAATCACTTATAAATACTTGGTGACCACTTCAAAATGTATAACGTTTCTGACAGATCTATCACATGTCCATGCCACTCTGAATAACATTCGAGAATAAATATATTGGGGAATTAAATTCTCATATAACATGCTCTTATAAACATTTACCTAATAAAGAAGAGAAGATGTGACACCTTATGGTAAGAAATGCCTGATTAATGTTCAATGTAATAAATTGTAAACTACACACCTGTAGTTTTTCCTCCATCATAATTGATGCAGATATGGAGATAATCCCCAAATATAAAAACTAATTCCAGAAGGGAAAAGGTGCCTAAAAAATATCACTGTAATAGGCCACACCAATGACTGACGAGCAAGGCTTAGGTCAAAGTTCACATGTCCTGATACACTTAGAGAAACAACCACAGACAGGCACAAGTTTTAACCACAACATGACCTTTTTGAACCAACCTGCTGTCAAATCAGACGTGAAACAGTCACTGCCTCTGTGTTGATATAAAGGCTGTTACCAATGAGTCTCAGAAAGTTTGCAGCCTCTCTTTAAGAGAAACCAGACAAATTATTATATTACAGACTAAACCGGAAAAAAAACAACCCAAAATGCTGCTCCAATAGTCACTGGGAGGATACGGCACAAAATTCAACACCCATTTCCTGGTGCGTCAGCTCCTGTTTGCCCCACAAAACAGGAGTCAGAGAGTTCCCTCTGAACTCTGAGTGGCTGCTGCATGCTGTCAGTCCTCAGTGAAAAGCCAGGGGAAGGGCTTCAGATCTGCGTGTGGTGGTGTGTGTGTCCGGGCGGTGTGTAAGGAGGTGGTGCCGGGTTGGGTTTGATCCCCCGGCTCTTCATGTAAGAGATGAACTGGTCGGGGATCTCTGCTAGCACGTCTTTTGCGAGCCGAGCCATGCTTAACACATGGTTGCCTGTCCGGTCCATATAATCTCTGAAGGGAACAAACTGGGGGAAAAAAGAGAATAAAGTCTAATATCACTTTGCTTATATGCTGTAGTAACTTGCTCATGTGGATAAAGAATGTCATGATTTGACAATTAATCAGAAATGTTAAACTTTTTCTATTTAATAGAACGTTGCACAAGATTTGACAACATACGGTTTCCTCTGTCTTATACCATCTAGGCGTTTTGGATTACTGTTGTAGTGATTCATGAAAAGCTCTAAATACCTTTTTGATAATGTACACAAGTAGGTTTTGGGAACAGGGTGGTACACTGAATGGAGAAATCCAGAGAGCTCATGTTTAAGCCCCCATGTTTGTCAACATTTTTCAGATCCTGCAAGCTTTAGGATGCTGATCTGTCACTAATCCTGTGCTCTGGCTTCCCTCAGGAGTGAGAGGAAATAAATGAGAGAAAGTGAAAAGTTTTCCTACTAGGGTTTGATAAAAGTACATTGTATTTTTCCATCCTTTGTATTATTTGTCAAAGCACATCAAGGTTTTCCCCAGGTATTTTCTTTAGCAGAAGTGGTAAGCAACCAAATCCCAGAGAGAAGTCTCATCAAGTGAGTCAATTTAGTTAAACAACAAAACAAAATAGCAAAAACGAAACAATAGTCATTAAATACCATGAATTGCATTACAACGTACACTGATCAGCCATAACATTATGACCACCTGCCTAATATTGTGTAGGTCCCCCTTTTGCCGCCAAAACAACCACCAGACCTCTGATGGTGTGCTGTGGTATCTGGCACCAATACATTCGCAGCAGATCCTTCCTTTAAGTCCTGTAAATTGTCTAGTGGGGCCTCCATGGATCGGACTTGTTTGTCCAGCACATCCCACAGATGCTCGATTGGATTGAGATCTGGAGAATTTGGAGGCCAAGTCAACACCTTGAACTCATTGTTCTGTTCCTCAAACCATTCCTGAACCACTTTTGCTTTATCCTGCTGAAAGAGGCCACTGCCATCAGGTAATACCGTTTCCATGAAAGAGTGTACATAGTCTGCAACAATGCTTAGGTAGGTGGTACGTGTCAAAATAACATCCACATGAATGGCAGGACCTGAGATTCCTAGCAGAACATCGCCCAAAGCATCACACTTTGATGCCTTCTTCCCATAGTGCATCCTGCTGCCATGTGTTCCCCAGGTAAGCGACACACACGCACCCGGCCATCCTCAAGATGTAAAAGAAAACATGATTCATCAGACCAGGCCACCTTCTCCCATTGCTCTGTTTTCCAGTTCTAATGCTCACCAGCCTTTTTCAACAGTTTGAGCTACAGTAGCTCGTCCGTTGGATTGGACCACATGGGCCAGCCTTCACTCCTGATGTGCATCAGTGAGCCTTGGCCGCCCATGACCCTGTCTCCGGTTCACCGCCTTTCCTTCCTTGGACCACTTTTGATAGGTACTGACCTTTGCAGATCAGGGACATCCCACAAGAGCTCCAATTTTGGAGATGTTGACCCAGTCGTCTATCCATCACAATTTGGCCCTTGTCAAAGTCGCTCAAATCCTCACAATACCCATTTTTCCTGCTTCTAACACATCAACTTTGAGGGCAAAATGTTTACTTGCTGCCTGATATATCCCACCCACTGAGAGGTGCCATGATAACCAGATAATCAGTGTTATCCACTTCACTATCAGTGCTCATGTTATGGCTGATCGGTGTATGTGCATATACAACTTTGGGTAACCCAGCACACCATCTTTTGCGTACTATTCAGCCACTTAACTCTTGAGTTTTGATGCTACAGAAACAGAAAGACGCTGAGTCGATTGAAACACCCTAGCACTTCTGTAAATAAGACACGTTTCATAGAGTAATATCAATTTTTTTCAGTGTAATTCCCTTCATGGAAATTCACAGAACCACACAACACACTGTTAAAGTTGTCATTGCCAACAGATGGTGTTTTGTCAGAAACAGACGTTTTAATGTCCCAGCAGAACTGAGGTAACAGTATGAATGTAACACAAATGTAAAAATATGACACAGTACGTACTGTGTAAATCAGTGGATGCCTATAAAAAGTGATCCATATCTTGTGGCGAAAGACTGAAATAAGCCCAAGCTTGATAAATATTTATTGACAGTATTGTCGGTTATCTGGACATGGCTGCTAGTCTCGATATCTGCAGTGAAAACAGTCAAAAGTTTTCTTTCGTGCTTTGAAGTGCAGTCACCTGAACAATGTCTCTCTCTGCCAGTTTCCCCCGGGATGAGATCCTGATGTCATCACCATCCAGCTCTACCATAGCTGGAAGATACAAGTTCACACACATGCATGCACAAACACATACACACACACACACACACACACACACACACACACACACAAACATAGTGTGAGAACGAAGCAAGGACAGCTGCCTTTAGGACAAACACAAGGCTGATACACTACTGATGTAAAGGTTTCGTTATCATAAATCATATTAATCCCATACATTTGATGCTTTAGCATCACTAAAGGAGAGCGGAGCCGTACAGCTGTAATCTGTCTTTATTGCATGTCTAATCAACTAATAAGTTCTTTATTGTAGCCTCTGTGCAATTTAGCATCATCTGCACTAAACACTGCAAACCCAGCAATTAACCTCAGCCATTTCTTCTTCAATTATGCTTGCATCCACCTACGCATTCCCTTCTCTACGGACTCAAATTAGTTTGTACAGTCATTTTCTCTCGGGTATTTCTCTGAATTGGTGCCAGAGAGGTTAGCGCTGACTGTAATAGACTGTGAGTTGTCTGAATTAAAATGTCAATTCTTAGCTCATGTTTTTATCTGCTTAACTGACTTGACACTGCTGAAGTTTTAGAAGACGTTTTCTTTATTATTACCTCTTGTATGCAATAACCATAATATTTAATCATTCAGTAATGCAGCAGTTAAAGTCACCGTACCGTCAAACTCCGCCTGACCCACTCCAACTATGATGATCGACATGGGAAGCTTGGCACCCTGCAGAGAAATAGAAAACAGAAGGCAAGTGAAACAACATTTTTTTTCTTAAGAAACAACATACACATGTACACATTTATTTTATTCAGAGAGAGGAGAGAAGCCTATCCACATCACCACTGACCTGTAGCGCTCATTACTGTATATCAGACATTAATGTTCTGTCTCACCCTTTAACTACCTGAATGACCTTTAAGTAGAGAAAAAAGAGTTTGAGTTTGAGATGTTAGGAAGTCAGAGAAACTGGGGAAACAGGGACATGCTTCAATAGAAACTTGTTTTTGTCACTGTTTTCCTTATCCTAGATGTTTTATGTCCCTGAATCCAATTTTCTGTTGTGTGAATGCGCTCCGGGTCTTATCTTGGGTTGACAATTTGTGTTTGCCCACTGAATGCTAGTTATCAGGCTTGGGAGTGGAGATTAAACTCTGACAACACTAACAGCATCCCCAGAGATACTGACCCAACAGGTATGTAGTATAAGTGCTAAAGCTGTTTTTGATAGCTAAAAAAAGCAATCATCTTTTTTTATTTTATCCCCAGAATTCCCTGCCTGGATTGACAAAATGCTGACCTGCAAAATGAAGCGTGTTTGACATTATACAGGTAAACTCGGGTGGTTAAGGCTAAAAAGACATCTATTCACACGGAGGGTGAAAAAAAGTGACACATCTGTTGGCAGACACCTCGATAAGGTCTAAAATGGCAGGTGTGGCATGGTGGCATTTGTGAGCTGGGAGAGGAGGGAGAGGGAGAAGGTGCTAACGTCAGTCAGTACAGCGACCATCCTCAGTCACCCGCCCTGCCACTCCCAAGCTACGCCTCAAGTCAGCAGTTCCTGTACTGTGGTTAACTGTCTCTAAACAAAAGCAAGTGGGGATCGGAAATATTTTGATATTATGGTATATTGGCTTTCGAAGTAGTTGTGATGATATGGTCCTGCCATTTAGTTATTAGCAAAAAATTCTTCAAATGGATTTTGGAGAAAATGTAATTTTAACAACAGTCTACAGCCATGCTAGTGGCTTTGTGAGGCTTTGCATATGTTTGCTATGTAAAGATATACATCAATATCAGTTCTTACCAAACCAGCCCTTGTTACCCATATGATTACACACTGTATGTTGCTGTACATCTTTTACTTCAAACAGTTAATAATCCAACCAAAACACCTTCTTTTATTCTCTTAGAAAAAACAGTATTTGGCTGTAATATATGTGATTTTCTTTACATGCTGCTTGAGTGACAGTGACTGCATTGCACTCTGACCATGTTAGTGTCTGTTGTTGTAATTTCCAGATAAATGGCAACATAAATGCTTGATGCAGAACCTGCTATTATGTGCAATGAGTTTTCTGCAGTCACATATTTTCACAAAGCAGTTATAACAAGTGCAGTTTTATCTCTGGGACAAGTCAAACGTATTGAGGAAATCAGGCAACCTCTTTTGCCACGGGGTTGAGAGCACCTTCTGTCGACACCACCTCAGCTGCAGCTCAGCTGCAGCACAGCAGCGCGATTATCAGTGTTCAACACAACTCCTGTCAGTGCCTGTCCTCCCACGCACATGCTCACACAAACACTCACACTTACAGACATACATGCTTGTGTGTGTGTAGCTGAAGACATGCGCACACATCAGAACATCAAATGCCACCAAAAATAACCTGGCAATTCACCATGCCCCACTTTTACCATCCTCCTGTCACCCTGACTGGCAGCCGAGATCCAGTGTAATGAGACAATAAAACAAAGCGTCAATCAACACTCATTACTCCAGCAACTCACTTTGGAAGTGCTGCTTAAATCCAAATGTCATTTATATGCATGCTTTGATGGGCATGTGTATGTTCTTGTGTATGCGGCTCTGCCCACACACACAAACAGGTTCATGGATGCATGTTTTTGTGAGGTGTCCTGTCAGCACAGGGCTCACCTGAGTCACTAGACAATCTCTCATGGGCTGTCTCAGAGCTCAGCTCAGAGAAAAGCTTAGGGCAGCAGATTGAGGACACTTGAAAAACAGCTACCACTGAATGCAGATATGAACTGTTAATGGCATTAAGAGTGGCACATCCAGAATAGTCCACAGCATCAGGAATACTCAGCGGCGGTCATATACAGTTCTCTGTCTTTCACATGTTGACATACTGAACTGTGTTGAAAAGGACATTAAGTTTCATGTAAATGAAATATTTATACGTTTCAGAATATGTTGTTGATCTCTGTTAGCTTTTGTTTCTTTACTGGCACTGCTTGAATTATTTTACTTTACTAACTTTGATCTTGAATAAGTTTAATCAAAGAGCACATACCTCTGCAGAGACAGCATAGTTCTTCAGATTTGTTATGAATATGAATTAATTTTAAATTTCTTATTCCATAGCCTAATTTTCCACACAAATTTAGATACCCTGCTTATTAACAGCACAAGCAACAAAAAACCCCACAGAGGTAACAACCTTCCGTAAGCAGTAATTGCCAATTAAGAGACTGTATTTAGTCACACATGTACACAGGGCCCTGCATTAGTGAAGTGACTCACTATTGTTTAGTGAGAAGATATGGCTACTGTTTTAAATGCGGCTCCTTTATGATTTAAATAAATGTCATTAATAATCTAACATGCACAAGAGCACAAGAGCAAATGTGTAAAGAATAGATTTAATATCTGCCCCTGTGTATGCTTGAATCTGTAGCATGCCCTAACTAGCTTACTAATGTTACCTCCATACAGTTTTAGGGCCAAGGTTACTTAAAAAAACCAAATACTAGCACACCCAATAGTTTTTTCCCACTGTGTAGGAGCCGGTTTTTGGACGCTGGGTCCAGCTCTTGGCTTCACTCCCTAGCCACCGACTTACTTATAAATATGAACAATTGCACAAGCTAAGCAGCCAGAGATTATGTTAGGACAAAGGAACAGTCTGGTCTTACATTTCTCCTTATCATACTTAGAATACTTGGAGTAGATATATGTTTACACTGAAACACAAGAACAATGCCGTTGTTATTTAGCCTACATATAGACTTCTATATAGATCAGAAACTGGTGAGAATACTGACTTTTGAGCTGGGAGATGCAACTTTAGCCCCAGTGTTTTTGGACAATATCATTTAACAGTCAAGAAGATGGCATTTCCAGCCAACTCATGGAGCTTAATTCCCTTGCACACTACAACTGATAAAATCTGGCAGCAACAGTTGTTATTTCAGCCGGCAGAACTGATGATTTACAGTTAAAAATGAAAAACTTCTACTGTTTGAAATGCATGTCTGAAGCCTTATTTATTAAAAGATAATTGCCACCATTATCACTAAAATGCATCTGTGTTTGATGTAGATGTGGCAACAGCAACTAAGGGGACAGGGCTTTGCAATGGTTGTATATTAACTGAAAGTGAGTGAAAATGTAGAATCATGTCAAGATCATGACACATATACAGAACAATTACCAATAAAATGTTGGATCCTATAAGAATAATTTTTTGAGAACAGTGAATAGTTAATACAGAGCGAGGCTATGTAGCCTGTTCTAGTCAAGTAGAAGACTGTACTTGTTGCTGTTGTGTATATTGAGATGTTTTTTGTTTTCTTGGTTCCACTAGGTATCCCATTACCTCTTACATAACCAAGTCCTGCATCCGATACAAAGTATGAACGGAGGTAATATGGCTGTGAAGTGAAGTACTTTTGGTGGGTCCTGGCATTGATACAGAGATGAAGCACAAAGCACTGACGGATAACAAGTGGAAGATGAGAAAGGAAAGAAATCAAAGGCAGCGATGATTTTCTTATAGACTGAATGCGGTGACAGGCGAATGGAGAGAGCAGATGAAGACAAAGAGATTTAGATCTGTGAGAGGGAAAGAGATGGAGAGAGACAGCGCAAGTCTTTGTATTTGCGAGCGGGGGAGTCTCACGGCACAGAGGGAAAGAGGAGGCAGCAGAGGGACCCAAGTTGTGAGCAGAGGACGGGGAAGCTGAGTGATTGACAGGTGGGTTTATGTAGTATAGCATATTCTGCTATGACTGATAAACCTCCTTTGTTCATCACATGTTCTATATCACCGAAACACACAAAAAAACACTTCCATGCACAAATGCAAACTCGCTCCAGATGTTCATACTCAACATACAGAGAGTTTGGACTTCCTCTCACTCGATTTCTCGCTCTTTCTTGAAGATATCTTCCAGCATGAATAAGTATGAGGAAAGACTTATATAACCTCAGCAGTGTGTCCTCCCTTGCCCAGGATCCGTGGGGAGTAAAAGGAAAAGCAGTGGAAGCGGCAAGCATCAGTAGACAGTCAGAGTGGAGGCAGTGAGATAGAGCAGCAGGCAAGATCTTAAAAGGAAGGTGTGGCTGTTCTAATGTTTTGACTAACAGTCGCAAATTCCCTTTAAATCCAGTCTGCTGGGTGTTCTGTGCCTGCGGCGGGCTGAGGAGGAGGAGGAGGGGAGAAAAGAGGAAGAGAACAAGGAAGAGGAAAGGAAAGCAAGGCAGCCATCTGCTATTTAAAGCTGGGAGAAAAAAAGGACAAGTTCTCGGGGAAAGCTCAGAGGAATAAAGCACAATGTTTTTTATTTACTGAGGCAGTTACATCTTTTCAGATGGTGAATTTCATAAATATGTTCACTACAATTTTATTGGGTCATTCACAGCATCTGTTCATTCTTTGGAATAAAAACATTACCTGGGTGTTGAGCTACTTTGGTGTAGTTTTCAGGTAAATCATTAGTCTATATATTGATCTTCAGAAGCACTCCAAAAGTTTTGAAACCAGCAATTACAGCACAAAAATGTCAGTTATGTGACGCTATTATGCCAGTTCTTTTTCTTGACACATTGCAGAATTGCTGCTGTCACATTGTGTGTTTGAATCAGAGTGACAACCACAATGAACTGGGTTAGGGAATGCTAGAGCCAGTCAGAGACACAGTATCCATTATTAGTGTTGAAACAAATGCCGACTGACAGTCAATTGACATTAATATCAATAAACAACTAACTGTTTAATTAATGCTGTAGATCAAGCAAATAATTTACTGATTTCAGCTCCTCTGATTTTCTGCTTTTATAAATATCATTATAAATTACTGCATCTTCTGGTATTAGACTGTTCATCAAACAAAACCAATATTTTATATCTGTCACCTTTCACTTTAAGAAATTATGATAGGCCTTTTTCATTATTTCTTGACTTTTAATTGACTTAATGATTAATTGGGTATTTTGAAAAATAACTGAGAGTTTAATTGATGAAAATCGTCTGTGGCATCTTATGTTGGTGGGCCTTTTTTATATAGTGATTTAAAGGAAAAGTTGGGGAAATAGATTAACTATTGCTTTAAACCATTCATTTCACAGCACAATTTACTTCAAAGGCATTTTCTTCTAATTTATCTCAGATGAAACTGGACATATATATCTTTATATATATTACAATAAAGCATTGTGTCTCCCCATTTTCCCATTCTTACATTTACAATGGCCTCTTTCGTCTGGGCCATGTCGGAAATGACGCCGTCTGTGATGATGAGGAGCACAAAGTACTGAGAGCCGTCCTGTACAGCAGCTGCATACCTGCATACACACACACACACACAGATGCAGACAGAGATGAGAGGATGCTGTATAATCTCTACATTATAACATATGATCGAAACATTGACGTAGAGAATAAATCCATGACAATAGACGTCTTATCATGCACCACAGGCACATTCAATAAAAATGTTCTTTGTCATTGCTGTACCTCAGATAAACCCTCATTAAAATGCCTAACAAATACACATTGATTAATCAGCCCAAACAATCAAGTTTAAAACAAAGCTGGCTTACACTGTTTGATTCACAGATTAACACCTTTTGTTAAAATCTCTTCCTACTTGAGTTCACCTATTCAAATGCTAAACACCAATACTGGTTGTGCATTCTTTCAGCTATGGCTCCCTGGCGCTGTGTGAAAAGTCAATTTTTTATCAGAATGACATTTTTAATTACAACAGAGCACTGGCGTAATCAAATGGAGAATTGTTTGGATATGGCTCAACAAATGAAACCATGAGGGAAGCAGTGAGAGTGAGAGGTGGAGGTGAATGTCGAGGGCACAAGAATCCACATAAATCCTATCACAGTGTGTATATGTTTTGTCATTTGTTCCATCAGCTATATCCGCTGCTCTTTTGAAAGCTGTCAGCCGATCTGAATTTATGTTCAGGCATGTTATATTCTGTTTGTTGTGTCTGGGAGGACAGATATTGTCAATGTAGCGGCTCAGGAAAGTGGTACAGCACAGCAAATCAAAGCCAACTGAGGCCGGCAGTCAGAAATGTTGGCACGAGTGTTATTTTGATAGCTGGAATCTTATAGAAGATCATTATAATCAGTTTGTTAACATTGTGGCACAAAACCACAGTTCTTTCAATTCTGAATTGCTGATGATAAAAAGGTCAATTATATCATCAGTACATCTGTTGGAAAAGCATTGAACAATGTATCCTACTCTGCATATAAACACTAATATTTGTGTGAAAATCTCTGGAGGTCTCACTGTTTTTATCATTGCGTGTGTTGTCTTTGAATGGAAGCATGAATAATGTAAAAATTATGATGAATCATTAGCAGAAAAAGTTAAAAAGAACATGCATGGGAATGAAACAAAAGTCCAAACAATCACAATATAAAATCCAAACTTGTGCTTTGAATTATTGTATTCCTGCTTTAGACCAATTTATATTCATGCAAGCACAGGTGAAAAAAGATTTTGCAAGACTGTTTAGTATGTGTCTGACAGTAATAAACCTGACAAATACATAGCTTAATGCAGTCTTAGAGTATGTTGTAGTTATCACATTTATTCATAGAGCATATTTTTGCCCTAGAAGTTGTTCACCAGCTGCATTGTTCTCTCACCTGGCAACATGGTTCACCACAGGAGCGAAGTTAGTTGGACCGTACAGCTGCACTGTCTTCAGACTCTGGTGGTATGCCTCTAAGATGCCCTCAATACCATTGCAATACGGATTTTCCATGTTTCCATTCTGAAAAGGGCAGAAACAGGGAAAACAAATCAATTTCATGGGTTTTGTCAATGCACGTATCAAATAAAGAAACACCAAGACTACTTCATCACAGTACACTGGTTTCATCAGACATCATTTACTTGTTTCTTATTACTAGGTCATGCAAGTTTGATTCTGGAAGTTGGAAATAAAAAGTATGAAATAGTCATCCTTTTTATTTCCAACATCCAGAATCAAACGTTGATAAAAATGTAATTGAACTGATGAAATAAAGAAAGGTTGACTTCACCAGTGGAAACTCATGTGACACCCGTCCATCAGGGGGCAGTTTGGCTCCAAAGCCCAGTGCAGGGAACATCTTGTCACTGTCGTAATCCTGAATGATCTCCCCTACAGCCTTCAGGGCCATAGCGTAGGCGTTCAGCTGGTAGGGATTCATGTAGTGCAGTGAAGTGGACTGGGAAGGGTTACCTGTTGAGCAATCAATGTCAAGGTCATTGTGGGTGATGAGGAACAAAGACGTCAGTTCTAGAACATAAGATACAGTTTTTGTGCACCCCCCTGCAATTACACAACATTAAAAAAAATGTTTTGTTTGCTGCAGTTATGCATCGTAATTAATGTGATTCCTGTCAGGTAGAGCTTTCATGTTCAGGCCTCACAGACAATAAATCATTAACAAACAGTGGGAGGAAAGCCATTGGGAGAACTGAATACCTGCAAATGACAAATTAATTGAGCGTTTAGAAAGCTTGTCAATAACTGTGACCTTCTCAGATATCCTCTGTTTAATAGCACACCATTATGTCATTCAGTATTAACAGCCCAGCTTGTATATTTGATTAGATGTGTTTTAGAAAACCAGTAAAGTTGTAGGTGACAAGTGCTCACCATTTGATTAGCTGCACCTGCTATCTGATAGCAGTAATCCGGCTGTTTGCCTGGTCAGGCTGTTTACTCACAATATGTAACACAAGTGGTCTTATCTCAAATGTCACAACGAATTGTAGGTCACATTGACCAACAGGAACATTTGAAAATCTCAACAGTTTATGGAAATGTACTGTTCACTAAGACCTGTCCTCCTTTCTACTGTTGCAATACCTGTTAGGCTTTCTGTTCTTATGCGGTACATATGCAGTTCATTGACTCGTGTTTCAGTAAAAAGGAAGTGTTCCGACAAATTTTGTCTTTTAACTTTCTGTCCAAACTGGAGATGGATCGAACCAGCTACATTTCAACAAAAATCTGTCCTGTTTTATAATATAATGTAGGCCTACACTGTGGAGGACAAACGGAGCTGGAAGGAAATGAGAGATTTTGTACTACAGCAGCCTGACAAACATGTTATTTACTGTTATTTACATAGCAATGCTAATAGGATCCTCCACACAACAATGAGATCAGCTAGTCATGTTGCTGTTATAATAGTCATGCTGACTGGTCAAAAGATGTTGACATTTGTGTTTTATTATGTGTTTTTAACAATATAATATAATAAGTTGTCTGCGTGTGGTCGTTCAAAGTGTTAATATAACATATCTTTATCCAAACACAGTGTACAGTTGAGACTCATTTGGTTACACAGTCTGGTTTCTCCATGGCATGGCCTTATTATTGCATAATGAGCTGATTATTCATAATAATATTATAAACAAAATAAATTTTACATATATAACATATTGCAAAAGAAAAGTTTTAATCCATTTATAAATCAGCTGCCAGACCAGCAAGGCGAATATTACCTGGTTGATTGATTGTTTGTGGGAGCTGTAACTAATAACTACAATGTTATTAACTTAAGATATTTACAATAACATGTATCATCGCTAGTAAGCATCAGTGCAATTGCAATTTTTCTATTGTAGCAACACACAAGATGTTAGTTGATCTGGTTCGTTGTAAATAAATTACCACCACAGGTAACTTTGTCTTTAATCTGATATCTGTTATCTGCTAACATTTGCAGCTTACATTAGAAAAGAGAAACACACAGTTTGTGTACCTGGTATTCCTACTGTAGCCATTTGTACGCCTTTAAACATGTAGGAAATTCCAAAGCCGGCCGTGCCTAGTTATGGTTGCTAAACGAAGATTGGACGTATGTTCAGGGGATCAATCCAATCAATTGGGAAAATCGGAATTCTAATTTTCCTAACTGTGATTTACACTGAAGAGTTCTTCCTGGCAGATAAATCTTTTGGAAAATTGTTGTCAGGCACACTTAATGACATAAGTAGTGTAATTAGACTCAAGCATTGTCCTTTTACCCACTAAGGAGTCTAAGCCGAGCGGAGGGTTTTACACCATTTGCTTTATTTTATTTTTGCTAAATGCCTGCTATAACCTCTAGCTAGACTGTATTGACAGAGCATTAAGGAGGAAGAGCTATCCAGGAAAAGCTATCACTTAGAGGTGACAACGTGTGTACAGTATGTGTGGCCGCACCGTCTGCTTGTGTGTGTGTTTGTGTGATTGATTCTGAAATCGGACATGCCACATTCAAAGAGCACTACTATCTATTCTTGTCCCCCATGCACACAGATACACTTTGCTGTGAGTATCACTCACCATTAGATGCTGTGAAATCGATGGCCACAGTAAAATTGATCTGTGTCCTAGAAGAGGGATGGAGAGGAGGACATGGGGGAAAAAAATCTACGACAGAGACCAACCAGCAATAACAACATGCCAGGCGTCATTAAATTCCAGTGCTCTAACACCCAGTCACACACACATACACACACATTTTCTGATGCAAGAGAAGATAATACCTAACACAGACGAAGACCATACACAAGATATAGCAATTATTTATGATGATGACATTATTACAAACGGATTAAATTGTAATTTCTTGTTTCTCTTAATACACAAAGTGCACTTGCTCAGTTGTCAAAAAAAGATTTCAATGATTGCACTTCTCCGTTTATCTGACTTTCACCTGCACGGGAAGGCATAGCAGGGGGTATCGAGGAGACACTGAGCTGGGTAACAAGCAATTAGACTGATGCAGCAAATCATAATCCAATTTTGCTGCTGATGAAGGACTACCCTCTTCTTGCTAATTTACAACAATGAGACAAGGCCTTCAGGGCCCGAATGACAGCCTCTCATCATCTACTGTATGAGAGCCACCAGAGAGGAAGGCATAAGAATGATACAGCAATAAAATGAATGTGTTAAAGATTCACATTAACCTTTCATTTTGGGGTGGGGACGGAGAATAAGCCACAGCCTGACTGTGCTAACCTTAGCATTAATTAAACTTGATTTTATTAATTTATAAAGACTCTTGAATATATTACTAACTTGGTTAGCATATTGTACATCTGCATCAAAAAATGAGGTGTTTTTCACTGTGATTTTCTTTTAGGTTTTAGATGTAGATTCCCGTCCATTGACTGAGCTTTTTATGGTAAAGGTCAGTATTTTGTAGACTCTTGTCACTCTGGTGAACCCTTGTAAAACAAGTCTCCTTGACACTGCAGTTGTGTAGTAGTTTAACTTTTTTCTATTTCCAATTCCTTTTCTCTTTTACCCTGATGCTTTCTAACTTAACTATAATATAGAGACTGTTATTGTGCTTTTCTCTGTGGGCAAAATATCAAGTCTGTTCTAGTACTAAAAACTTCTTAGTAGTTTTAGTTTTTCTCATTTTACATCACAGCTTCATCCTCATTCAAATTCTATGGTAGTAAAAGTTGCAAATGTTATTAACCTGATACGAGTGCACTGAACCATCATCAGAATAGAGAGATGGCCCCTATCATTATATTCTAACCATATTATGTCCTCCTTGCTGCAGACTTGGAAAGTGGGAAAAATCAACAGTCTGACGACATTTCATCTCACCTCAGTCTACACAGAGTCAAAATACCTCTGAGATAGTTGAACAGCCAAATCATCCTTGTCCTTTTATGATTACAGTAGTTGTCAAATGAGACATAAAAGCTGCCAGAGCTCATTTTGCTTCACGAACAAAGCTGTAACAACAAATATTACAGAAAAGTTTTTAACAGCTAATGTAGAGAAGACTTTTACATGTGGTATTTTTTTCTGTTTTCATGCTGCAAAGAGCTTGGACAGTTTAAATGACACACTTTCCTAACTTCCATCCATTTTCTAAAGAGCAAGAGACTCAGTAAGTGCCAGAGTAATGTTAAGGACTGATTAGAATGGTATTTTTGAAGTGAAGCTGCTAAACCTTTAGGTTATTGTATCATAGATTGGCCAGAGCCAGAAACTGTCAGTGAAATCTGTCACACTTGTCAATTCTGCCACAGCCTATGAAATATATATATATGACAGCCTACCCGCTGTGATAGGACAGCCCATCCTGCCTGAAAAGCACACTTCACCTGAGACATACTTGATATTCACACGTCAACCTCAAGCTCTGAAACTTAGCTAAGGTCGATGGGTTAGTAACTGCTGTGAAGACAGTTTGGCCTTAGCTGGCTCATTTAAAATATATTTGACACTTAAATACTACGGACAGCGCCTACTGTGAACTTATAAATCAGTTTAATAAAGTTGCAGTGGAACACGTATGGTGCCACTATGAAAGATAAGGGGATAGAGATATATGCATTTTAATAAAAAAGGTAATAAAGATAGAGGATAGAAGATAGATATACATAGAATTCTCATTGTAAGTAATTTACTATCAAGACTACTTTCTATAATAGTTGTGCATGTGTCATTAATCCTCCAGTTTTTTACAACTTCATTCTCGTTTTACTACAGTAGTTTTGTCCCTTATTGCTATATTGCTAATTCATCCGAATTATCCTTTAAAGCTGCTATAAGCAATATTTTTATATTAACAATTGCTCAGATGATTATGTGACTATCTGGAAGGGGTCACTTGTAATGACTATGATGATTTTCATTAACTAATGTTAGCGTATCAGCTCATTGTTTAGGTTATATGGCCCACATATACACATATGTGTGTTCCACTATTTAGTGGCGCTACCATTACTGCAGTGGCAGTCATGGGTAGTTGGATTTATGACGTTGGGCAGTGGCCTCCAGTTACTGAAAAGGTACCTTATACGCATGGTGATCTTAACGTTATTCAGATTTTACATACATTTGTTATAATAATAGCTAGAAACAGAGAAAAAAAGCCCCTCCTATCAAATCAAACATAATTTATCTTCCTAACTGATATTCCATTGGTTTACACTTTAGAATTACTTCTCACTATGTTATGAAATGGCCTCTTTACCTCCTTATGATCGCAATTCCTGTTAAAATAAACATGTTTCCAGCATCCAGACATTCCCACTCACCCTCCTTTGATGTAATCTAAGAATGTGAACTCTGACTCCACTGAGAACGAGAGAAGCGTCACCTGGAATCAAAGACAATAAATATTTGATTAAACATTGAGGTAATAATATTTTCCTCCTAAACCCTCCACATCTTGACATGGTTCAGCTCTTGATACTCCCTTCGGTACAAGATGTGAGCCGGCTGGTTTCTAATGACTGCTTCATTAACATTGCCAGAGGATGTGATGCATTTGTATGCATTGCTTGCACATGCACTCATTGCTGGGTAAGTTGTGTCAAAATTGTGTCTTAATTGGTCATTGGTCTTGGCCACTTTGATCTCTCAGATCTTATGTCCTTCTGTATTTTTGAAAATTGTACTGTTTTCTGCACTGCCATTGGAGTTGGCTCTTTAATCTCATCGTACATGTGTACAGTGACAATAAAGGCATTCTATCTTCTATCTATTTATCTCAAGTTCTGCAGCTCTTTCATCTTTCATTTTGTCCCATTTACATACTTAACTGCCATCCAAAGTTTTTTCCACTTCTGCCATATACTGTAATGCATACACACAACTATAACTATTAAGTACTTCTTCTTTCTGTTTTGGCTGAATTTAAAAACTTACTACTGACTTAACTCATTATTTTGCTTTTACCAATTAGTTGGTGTATGATACAAGAATTAATGAGGAAAACATAGAAAGCACTGATTGGCATCTTCCAAGAAGCCAACACTTGCATGATAATTAAAGAGGGAATGATTTAACAGAAGAGCAGTAGGTGTGGAGCAGAAAAGAGGCACAGTGCCAGTCCGGGTTTGCTGCTGGAGCCATACTCACTGTTCCAGAGTGGACATATTTCTTTTTCTTCATTTTCTTCTTGGTATTTATCACCTAAAAATAAACAACAGGAGGTACAGGTGATCAAAAATGAACACATTTCTGCCATAATTTAGCCAAACTGTGAAATATTTATATTGTGTCTTTAAAGAAAAATATTAGAATATTATACAGAATTATTTAGTATAAGATAGATAAGATAAGTGCTTTTCACATATACACATACATATTTGTATAGAAAATACAGATTATGCAATATTTGATTTTTTGTTTTAGTTTTGTCAGTGGTTACAAAATGTAATTAAATAAATTAATAAAAACAATTATTCATCCATGCAACATACTGCGTTAGTAGCATATAATTGTGAAACTCTCTATAATTTTGATGTATTTTTACACATGTTAAAATAGAGTTTCATCTCACCCCCTTTTACACACGTTTACACCCTTTAGTTTTACTATATAATTTCTTCCTAATTGGGTGCAACAAATGTAACGAAGGCGGGTATGTGGGCGGCATGAGGAAAAGTGCATGCCATCAGTTTGTTGGTATTATGAACATCAAGTTTGTCCATGCAAGTGAGAGAGGGGAAATTAAGGAAGGAAGGAATGTGACAAAAGATGTGTCTGCATGACGTAACAGATGGGTATAAGGAGAAAGCGTAGCTCATGTAAGATCACTTATAAACACTTAGATAGAAATGCTTCATCTTGAGTATCTTGTACACGTCAGTCACACTATTAAAGGGGACAAGATTGGAAATTCCAACGCAAATCTGAGGCTACAGAGAACCAATGGGTGAGACAGACTTAAACTTGCAAGATTTACATTTACTTTACGAGTATTCTACCGGCTCCAGAACAAGAGAGAAATGTCAATCCGGAGACGAAAGACGTCTCAGCTCATTACCTTGTTTCTCTATGGCTGCTAGGCATGAAAGTGACAGCCCCTAATTTAACATGGAGGGATGGCAATTTGTCTGACACACTGAACAATCTGCTGATGCACAAACTAAAGGGCCTTCCAGTCTCACTGGGAGGTAGAGAAGAATCAAGAGTAGCGTATAATGGAGCTGACATCCAAAAGACAGGTATTTGTCCTTCGGCTGAAGGCCACCAGACCACAAAAGCATGAAGGTATTGATGTGTCCGTCTTTATGGTCAGATTTTGACATTGAAGTGCAAACACTTCCTCGTGAATTCAACAAAACATGTAGCTGTTTTGATAAACATAGGACACATCTATAGCATTTTCAGGCCTTTCCCCTCACCCGTAGATTCTGCGATGAGACATTTAAAAGAGTTGTGTTTGTAATTTGCATACAGAGCTGTATTGTGTGCTATTAAGAGACACAGTAAGCTATCCCATGAGAAGTACTAAGAAATAGCTATGATCATTCTAAATCCCTGGATTGTTCTCCTATTAATCCTGTTTCACGCTGCTGCTAATAGCTCCATTCCTATGTGTGTCAGCATCTAGGTGATTATTGTGGCAAAATAAATCTTGAAATTTGAAAAGAACAAAAGGGCCAGAGGAAATATTTAATTGGATGTATAACTGCTTGGGGAAGGTGGGAAGGCATGCACAAATACTGAATCATACATATGCCCTTTAAAGAATGAGTTAGAAATGTATGGAAACTTTTTCAATATGTCTTTAACTCTTGAATAAATGCATTTTCATTGCTGTGGGAGTAGAAGATATCAATATAAAGGAATGTGCTAGAGTAATGGAAAAACACGCAACAGTGATGTCAGAGATAGAAATGTCACTCGTGTCAGAAATGGGATCTAAGACACACGGCATAGAAGGATTCCAGATCTCAGGAGCCAACAGATATGCTGTTGAACTGTGAAAAGACTGGAATTAATCATAATTCGTACCTCGTACACATTGAACTGGCTCTGCCCTCGAGCTAGCTCTCGGTAGCTGGTCGTAAAATCCCCAATGAAGTCATGGCTGGGGGAAGGAATAAAAGGAGAGAAACACCAGTGTGTAATAAAAAAAACCCCATCAGGTACAAATAACAGGACAGATGTTTGGGACAAGATGGAACTTCATGATAGTAGAAAATGATTGGTTCCTGAAATGTAGCTTACGTTTGTGTTCATATTTCATAGCTGAAGATGGTGGTTTTTAATTTAATATTGAACTGCAGGACAAAGATTTCTAATTCAATACCAGTAGTGTCAATCACACTCACCTGCCATCCCTGTCCCAATCGTACACCTCCACCTTGATTGTTCTGGAAGAAAAAAAATCACGAACACGAAGTTAGATTTTTAATCAGCATGCTTGTTGGTAAAAAACCATACTATAAGGTCTATCCAGTAGCTTGTTCTGGAGCTTTCAGTCATATCACACAGTCATCTTTAGCAAAATTTGCCCAGTTGTCATGGAATTATAAATGTTCTCAACTTTTAAGCCAGCTAGGACCTAAAAACTGCTTTAAAAAATGGTATACTGGTATATAAATGATGAAGACCTAGAGTCAATATGTGTCTGTTCTTTCCATGGTTATTTGCATCACTCGACATTAAGCATTTGTATACCCCTACCTGCCTAAATAAAGAGCCCCTGCCAGATCAGCCATCAAATATGACTGTACTGCTACAACTGAGTGGCAAAGCCGGGGAGGTATTTGGGATCTTGCCTACAGTCTCACTAGTCAGTGAGGAAACTGTCTGATGTATATTGTACTAGTTGAGAGACTGTTTACTGCAACATGCTGCCAAACTGTCTTGTTACTTGGTCCTCCACATGGAGAGAGAGAGAGAGAGAGAGAGCAGTTCTCTGATTCTGGCACCAGACCAATTTACAGCCATTTTTACAAAAGTAGTGTAGCTCGCCAACGTCTGCCTTCTGCTGCTTCAAAATGATCTCTGAGGCACAGCATTTAAAATGCCCTCCGGAATTTTTTTGTAAACAAACAACAGTTATGTTTGCATTCAGTGCGTCTTAATCTTAATAGTACTTAATCTTACTGTGTGTCATTCAGATCTAACAAATTCAAGTGCATTTCCTCATAAAACATTTGCATAGCTGAATTTTAAAACATATTTTACATGTTTCCAATTTTACTTCCTGCCCATCTTCTCCATTTTGTTTTAAATATCCTGTGACATCAGTTGATGTAATATTTACAATTATGAAGTATTATCTTAAAAAAAAGAAATTAAAAAAAGAAATTGCTTTTGCAGAAAAGAGACCGTTACCGTTTCTTTTTAACCATGAGGCCAAAATAAAAAATTGTCAGAGCATTTAGGGAATAGTGCACGTCTTCAACAGCTTCATCATTAATGGTTTAGTAATTAACAAGGAGGGGAGAACGCAGCTACAGGTGTGTACTCCTGTTTCATGCCAATCCTTTAAACCTTGGAGTTTTTTAGTGCCAAAGACATACAGCTTATTATCACTATTAAGTGCTATGAGGAAAAGAAACACCAACTATGCTTAATTATTTATCTACTAAAAGAGTCTGTTGTTCAGTTTGGTGTGTTAATGATTTACTGGATCGAGGGGATTCTAATCAAAATCACAACAGAAATCATAGCTATTACAAAAAACTTGCTAAAAAGCTATTTTTAATATTATTATTATACTAGAGTCCAATGACATCATTTTATTTGAAAGTGTTTTAAGTGAAATTGTGCTAAGGGAACCCCAAAATCAATTAAAATGGATGTCACTTTGTTCTAAAACTGGGATTCTTGCCAGCTTAAGAACAAAGCAGAGCAGCTGACTGCATCTTGCAAAACAAAAAGTCAACTTATTTAAAGCACTCCCTCCAAAAATTGGAACTTGCAAACTGCAGCACATGTTAACTTCCAACATTAAAAAGAACATAAAAAAGACACTCTGATGACATTTTACACAAATGCAGCAGAAACATTGTCCCTGCAGAGTGAAGAAGAAAAAAATAAAACTTTTTTGGCACTTTCATTCCTGAGTCACATTGATCTCACCCCCATGTCTCCCCTCTCTCCCCACTTCGTCTTACACAAGTACTGACACCAGCCCAGATCCAAAGAAAGAAGCAAGCGGCACATCAGAGACTCTTTCCTGTCACTGAGGAATTGAAAGATCCCTGAAATAAGCCCAACTTCCTCCCTGCCACCTGGCCCCTGTCGTTCTGTGGTGACAGTTTGTTCTTTTGAGGTTATCTTCAAGGCTGTGAGTTAGAGAAAATGTGCTTGTCACCTAGGTGGTGGAAACATGATGCTTCTCTACCCGTATAGAAAAAGAGAGGGGAAGATAGATACAGAAAGAGAACGGGCAAGTCAAGGGGAAGGCATCCCTTCCCCTGACCAATCTATACACAGTGCCAGGTATAAGTGTTACGGTAATAGTGCATACCGTATTACTCAAATGAACAACCAGGAAGCTGTCATCTCACAGGCTCAATGCATTTGCCATCATTTTATTTATAAATTCTAACTTACAGCTGCTCAGATCCTCAGATCCTTGAGTGGCCCCTTGAACTCTCAGAACAATATACACTCCAAAACTAATCTGCCACAGATATCTCCAGCTACTGTTCTAAGGCGTCTTTAATGAACATGACTCATCTTCAGTAATGGAGGCACATATAATTGAGGGGAAAAAATGAGACTGCATTTGACACTGAACATTTCACTTCAGCTCCAACACAGTTCTGTGATCTCTTGCCGGGGACGAAAATAGACCATATTTGAGTCACCTTGGCTTAATGAGAAGGAACTGATTATTTTTATGCTTTTATTTTGTTTCTAAAATATATACAAGTAGCCTACCTTATTTATCACCTACACAGAGTAAACAGAGTATACAGGGGGTGTGAAGTGGATTTAAATTTCATTACACGTCAGTTGTTGAGCAGAATACACAACAACTTGGAAGCACCTTCCATTTCCCTCCTCTCTCCTCACACTCCTTCATCTTCTTCTCCTTGACTTACTCATCTGGAACAGGATCTTTGACATATTGGATTTCTGTTTCTCCTCCTACTATACTTTCCTTTGCTGTCTGTTATCTGTTATTCTTCTCTCCTTCATTTCTCCCCCTGCCCTCGTCTCCTCTCACTTTCAATACTTTGCTTTCCTTCCTTCGATTCCCCTCGTCTTTGCCAAAATGTTGCCTGTTGCTTCCAGAGCAGAATGTGTGTATGTATGGAGAGATGGATTTGTTCAAGGATACCTCAAATGCTCTCTGTCACCAGAGACTCAACTGGATCCTGCCACTCGAAGGACAGTCAGACTAATCACTGCGCCACCCTGACGCCAGCCAACAAAGTTTGAAGGTGGAGGTATTTTTATCCTTGTCTGTGTGTTTGCAAGATATTTTAAAAGGCTACCAACAGATCTGACTAAAATATGTGTAGACAGATAGCCTTCGGCAGGGATTCAGATCTGGGATTTCCGAGTGTTGTTTCCTCGCAGTAACAAGCAATACTTTCCCAATGACAGATTTTGTGCTGCAACGACTGTGCGTGGTCCAGTTTAGCCCTTGTTCAATGTGGCTGCACATTGTTGAAGATGTAGCCTTTGTGGCATAAAAATAATTTAACATTATAATTTAATTTCTCTAAAACTAAAACTTAATACCCAAATCACAAATCATCATTGTAATAGTGGTGGTTAAAATCTGTATTCTGTACTTCACTGTGTGCAACTATTTGGGATAATTTATGCGAAAGGTAACGTGAGGCTGTAACTAAATCACTTATTAACTGTAAGACGACATAATTGGTCACATTTGTCTGATCTGATTAATGAGATCAGGTGTGGTTCAGATATCAATGTATCGGATCCTTACATCTCCAATGGTCATAAGACCTATAGCTTCTGGTGACAGGGGGCCAGGTTGTATCTGAGAAATATGCAAGTAATGTTTTGTTTTGTTGTTTGAACTGAAACCACCATTAAACTCCAAGTACTAATAAAGCTACAGCCAGACTAACATAGCCACACTAAGAAACTGTGGGAAATGAACATTGATTGAGCTTTAAAGAGTTTTGATTCATCACATTGGGTCTGTAATTCTTCAGCAACTCTCTCTTTTGGAAGAATTTCTCCTACAAAACGTTTTTTCTTTTTAAATAACCAAACAAGATCCCCCATTATTTATTTGAAATACTTTCCAAACAGCTGCAGCAGAGCATAACAGCACCGACCTTAACCTTGAAAACTTCTGTGAATGGATAGGGCAGGCAGTCAGCACGAATATGAGAAAGTGCAGCTGTACGTGAGATCTTGGATGGAAATGAAATGCAAAATTAGTTTTTCCATCTTCTGATTTGAGAGCTTCTTTAAAGGAGTTCCATAAAACACATCTGAAGTGCACATCACTCTCCCACATACTGTAAGTAGGAAAATAAGCATAACATTTTAAGAGTTTAAAGTGGATCTCACATTTAAATTCTATCACAGTAAATGGCCCTTAGTTCCAGCAGGAGGAATAAAGTGCTGCACTATTTTTCAGGTGCCTGTTATTTGTCTGGTTCAAGGAAGAAAGTCAAGACAATGCGTCTTCCACCCTTTGTTTCTTTAGAGATGTCAGTTGGGAGAGCAGATATGGTCCTCCTTTCGGCCTTTGGTGCATCTAACAAGAGGAACATGTCTAAACCAAAACACTGATCTAATTAGAGCAAAGTAAATAAGCAGTAGGTCATCCACTGACATACTTGAGCGGGCTAGTACTCTCAACAGATAGAGGTGCTTCTCCAACATGTGCTGGACTTGGAGTGAGAGAGAGTAGAGTAACTGCCAACCCAGATAACGAGCAGTTGGAGCCTGCCTCTTCACCCAGATACAACAGAAATAAACATAGCAGTGTTTCTTATACAAGTAATCTGCATCTTGTGTAACTCCTACAATTTAGGGTCATATAATTTTGAAGGTCCTATTTGATCAAACTTGATCAGACTCAGACTTAGAATCTAAAATAAGTCACACATTGTTCCTTCAGGAGCTCACATGAAGCAATAATAAGTAAGGAGTCAACACACCTCCTTCAGATTAAGTGCATTTCCATCCACATTTTAATGCACATTGTCAGTTGAGTGGAAACAGTGGAAATAATAAAAAAAAGTCAGAACATTGCAAAAAAGTTTTTATGCTTGACTAATGTGGAAAAGTTAGTGTATAAATGAAGAATGCAACAGAAAATGGAAACTTAATTCATATCACTTAAATCAGACATATACTGTACATGAATTATGTGACTTCAACATCTACTAAAGCTTCCTGGATAGACAAAAAATTGCATCATACTTAAATATCAAATCTGTGTGGAACGATGAGGAGACAACTTCCTCAAATTATTACATAATAACATAAATTACATATTTTCCATCATTTCTCCACATGGTTTTTCACTTGAGGTTTGACTGGTGCTCTTTTAATGACACCATCTAATTGCACCTCCTTCTTCTTCAATGGATAAATGGCATCCAACTGGTTTAATGGCTCCACCAACTGTTCTCTATATCTTTATGCATCCAACTGCTCATACTTAACTGTAGTGGATGGAAACTAGTATTAAAGGACCAGTGTGTAGGATTTAGTGGCATCTAGTGAAGATGAAGTTGAAGATCACAACTAACTGAACAACACTAGTGTCTGTATTTGACAACCTGGGATTGAGAATGGGTTGTTAATTGTGTGGGAGAAACGTCCGCAAAACTCAGGAAAATTGCAATCAGCCCTATTTACAGCCAGTGTTTGGGTTGTCCGTTCCAGGCTACTGTAGAAACATGATGTTTCACGGTGAATGTAGATTAAATAGGCTCATTCTAAGATAACAAAAACAAAACAGTTCTTATTTTCAGGTGATTATACACTAATGAAAACATGCCTATGAATATTATATAAAATTTCTTACAATAGATCCTCCTAAATGTTACACACTGCTGGGACTTTTAAATAGATGTAAATGTATCTGAATCCAAATGAATGTTGAGGGCTCTCCACAAGGGGCTTCAAGTGGACCTTTTGCAGACTTCTAGAGACTTGGCTGAATTATTTGGATTTGTTTGTTAATCTGCAAAGTTAGGCAAACAGTGGCTGCTTCTCATCCATCTTTTGTGAGGATTCTCAGTTGACGGTTTAATGTGAACATAAGATGAGCAGTTTTTTACATCACATTTAAATTATACAAACCATGCATTTTAAACTATAAACTATGTATCTTGTATAAGTTGCCAATATCAATAAACTAAAGAAATCTTTCAGAAAAATACTTTGAAATACAGGGTCAAAAATTTCATTTAATCTCCATGGAAACAGTCTAGGTCTTACATCACTCCTATGACTCACATCCAGCACCCTCACAGGCTTGACGTGATGATGGAGAACATGTCAAGATACATGACAGGAGTCCATGAGGGTGGACATTTGGTTTTGGACTTGACGAGAACTCTTTGGGTCCCGCAGTGGACCAAAAGGAAAACAGGAAACAACAACGTTGCAATCTGGCCTCTGTCAAACAACTTGTTTGTATCAGTAAGTCAAGGACATTCGGCCAGGACTGCCAGGATCAGTGCAACTGTGGTTGAGCACTTCTTTTGGTCAACAAACTGATCTTAAACAACCAAAAGGATTTGATCCCTATTTCATTTAGAGTTTTGATTCATGTAATAAATATTTTCTGACCTGATTTAGTTTATTTTTTTATATTTTTTATATTATATTTTTCTAAGGTACGGGCACCATGTTAGCACTTTTCAAATTGCTGGAAGCTTTTCTTTTGTTAATGGGTATAAACAGTAATTACACAGATCAAACGCATTGACAGCCTTTAAGAGCAGTGTTTGCAGCATGAATACAGTTTGGATGATAACATAAAACGCAAAGTTGAAAAAAAAACATTTGTTAGTGGGTCTCAAGAACTATATAATTAAAAAGACAGACAGACCTTCCTCCTCCCACTCTCATACAAATATGGACACACAGAACAAGCAAGCACTGACACACAAATTTTATTCCTCACCCACGCACAAGTATGTAACCTGTTTATAGCGATGTCTTAGTGATATTTCAAGACTTGCAGCATTTCAGGCTGTTTCAGCTCGTGGCTTGTCACATTTTATTATACTCTAAGTGTGGGCGTGTGCATGTGTGTGTGTTTGCATGGCACAGGAGCATTTTAGGAAGTGCCTTTGATGCCCAACTCAGTCCCTTGTGTATGATTGGCTCTGACAGGGTAGTGACCCCTTCTTGAGCTCATGTTTAATTGGCTGGCTCACACAATTTCACCTAATATTTCCCAAGTATCAAATACTTCTAGAGGCAACCCCATACATCTACGAGACCACCACAACAATTTCTCTGTTCCTGTTTGTCTGTTTGGGATTTATCGCTGTTTTCAGAGCTCACACCAGGTTCTCAGCATTCTCAGTAATTAGAGTTTGACTGCATACAAAGAAGATAGGACAAACACCTTTGAGAGAGAGAGACGAGAAAAGAGGGAGCAGCAGAAAAAAGATACAGTATGCCACATGAAATATTTCCCCCCACAAAAGTAATCTGTCAGTCACTCCTTTTTCATCTTCCCTCATGGCTCCTTCGTGATTTAGTTTGTTTTCTTCCCTGCACTGTATTTTAAATTAGAGGCAGGCAGATAAGCTGGGGGAAAAATTAATTCCTACCCCCTCTGACACAACATGTCTACATTAATTATGTGCGAACTGGGAAGAGAAAACCATCATTATTTTAGATTTGTAGTTAGAAATGTAATCCAGTGTTTTCTAGGGCCAAAATGATGAATAGACCAAATTATATAGAGTTTCCATAATATTTGTTGAATTGTACATTCTTATAATTGATATCTTATTCCCTAATAAATTTTCAATTTTCTTTTCCTAACATTCATCAATTGACCATTGGCTAAGCCATGTTCCCCTATAGGCTAACTGTTAATGCTTGCCAGGTTTATATTAGGTTTACAATTATAACGTGCTGATTTTCTACTCAAAACTTCTTAGTAATTTTAATGGGTCCTTGATTTCAGACAGAGGTAGATACAAGCGGGCATCTACTTTCTAGCTGTCAACCATCAATTTTGCTGAAAGGACAGCTGTCAAAAGCAGATTTTATCAGCTATAGCTAGCCTGTGCAAAGGTTAGCTCCATGAGCTGGTTGAAAACAATATCACTGGCTGACTTTTTAATGTCTACAGCTGACTAATTTTAAAAGCAGAATCTAGTGAACATGCACTTGATGCACAGGCCATAAGGAGCAGCATTGTTCTTGTATTTTCAATGAAGAGCTTGTTCCCAACTTTCAAATAGCAGAACGATCCAGTTCCAGGTAATGTATTTCTGGGTCTTTTTGGGTTCGGGCAAGAATCTTTGGACCTTTGAAGACTTGTTTGTCGGCCAGGCCAAGGTTTGCAGCTGATGTTAGAGCAGACAAACATTCAGTTTAATCCATTCTTTATACTTTTGTTCTGGTATTTTTCTAATAAAAAAAAATGTCCAAACACAACCATCCAAACTCTTTTAATGCAGAGTACTGATCTTACTACAGCCCAATGGACATTGTTTCACCATATGGAGAAATAATAAGTTACTAAACTGTGACTGGACAATTGCTGTTTAGTCAGTTTACTTACACTGTTGTAACTAAATATAAATGTTACAATAATGCAATTATAATACTCAGACATTATATCTTGAGGAAAATAAAGTGTTGATAGCAAACACACCACAAGGAGGTCATTGGAGATTAGAGATGGTCATTGTGCCTGACCCGTTCTATTATAGCAAAGATCAATACCAAGGGATGTCCTAAGGACACAGTAACAGAAATAATGTGACAATAGAAAGAATGGGAGGCTTAACAATGCACCATGTTGAACTGGTATTGGTTCCTGCTGGTTAAACTCATCGACTCTCAAGGTGTAGTAAGTACACAGTTTGTCAGTCAGAGATACTGATTAGAGGCCATGCAGGTAGTCGATCGATTGAGCCAACAGAAATCAATGAAGGCAGAAGATGTCAATTGTGCCAACATTACTGACTATTCAGTGTGTGTGTGCAAGTATACAGTGTGTATGATATGGTAGAAATAGAGGGGATCAATTAAGCCAAGTGCAACAGTGAAAGGATAAACAGAAGCTGTGGGGATCAGTGTAACAGGGGAGGCTGCATTGTACCTGTCGTAGTCTCCATTGCAGAGCGCCCGTACTGGTATAGTAAAAGGCTGCCAGACTGGATTTAATGTGTTCTTCACCACCTCTGTTTTATGGCAGATAGTAAACCTAGAGGAGGAGGAGGGATGTTAGGAAAAGATATGTGCAAAAAAAAAGGCAGAGATATTATTTCATAATTATACAAGCCAGGGAGGGAGATAAATATGGAAATAAGGGGAGGAGCGTACATCTGAACAGACAGAGGCATCCGGAAAGACAATGTCAAATCCTACAGTCACAGGAGAAATGCTTTAAAATAGGGCTGTACCCAGCTTTGTTTACCGCTTGGCCTGTCTCCCAGCTATATTGTGTTTTAGACCATAGAGAATAATTTAATATTTTAGTTTGGCTTTTAAATCATTTCCCTTGACCACAAGTGTGACAATGATATGCAAATGAATTTCTCTGGTATCTGAAATGTTTTGCAGAGCAAAGCCACATAAAAACCTATCAAATACCCCCCAAATATCCTCTCGAAAAAGCAACAACGCGTTATTACTTCTTTTTTTTACCCAAAGTCTTGGATTACTTGTGCTCCACTAAGTGCCTCAAGCCTTTTAAAGCTCTGTGATTCTTCTAGCCAAACGGGCCTCTAATTTGTACCGCCCTCTGGCACCAACAAGAGATAGTTCTAGCACATCTGTTGGGATCCATTTCCCTGCCTGTTAGGTATGAAAAAAAAAAAGAGAAAAACTAGAAGACGGCTAACGAAGCACTTGCTAAAGCATCTTCGGCTAGATTGGGCTGACGCTGCTACAACTGCACAACCCCTTGGGAGACTGAACAACACTCTGGGAAAGCGTGAGGAGATGTGGGGGGTGTTATGCATCCCTATGTGAATTGCCTCAGAAACTGACAGTCTTTTTTTTATTGATGGAAAATGCAGATTGTGTTATTTATTTATTTATTTATTTATGCTTTTTACAGTAATTGCCTCTCTTTCCTATTTGCTCTCCCGGAGCCATTTATGTAAGACATAGTCATGGGAGTTGTGGTTTTGTTGTAGGATACTTGCGCCTGTGCAGCCTCTTAATTTGTGCATGCCTCACTGAAGCTGTCCTCTCATAGTGTGTGTATATATATGCTCATCCCTCTTTAATATACTGTATTTGCCTGGGTCCAGACCAATGAATCTGCCCTCTCTACCGAGTTGACTGATTCTGGTATGGCATCATGACATAAAACGGCAGTTTCTCGGTTGAAAAAGCGGTTATCCAGTCAGCACCACATGGGGACTAGTGCTGTTGTCAAGTGGTATCAAGCTGTGTGCCAGAACTGAGGAGAAGTACAACAATGGCGACAACTATAGACAAGTTAGAGTTGCAATTGAGGCTGTTCCTAGCTGACATGTCCTCTCAATATCACCCAACAATGTTTTACTTTGCTCCACTCCACTTTTAAAACCCTGTATGTTTGCAAGGCTACACATCAGTGTCGACTTAAAATGTCATTAGATTCAAGCAGATATATTGGTCTCTAGTGAGTAGTAGGTTAGGGAAATTCAAATCACCCTCCCACCCAGAAATCAGTTAGAGTGGAGGCAAAGTCAGAGTGTCAATTATATCTGATATCAGGCAAAATACCTCCTCTAATGCTCTCTTTGTTTTTGCTTCTCCCTTTTTCCCAAATGTTACTATAACTTTAATGATATTGTACTTTAAAACAAATTTGTTCTTGTGTCTTCAAAACTGATTTTCCAGGCTCTCATGGGAGCTACTTTATCCTGCTTTAAGAAAGGCAACCTAATATTTGACAGTATTTGGTTTGTCACCATGGAGTTTGGAAAGCTTTGGTAACACAAAATTCCACAACTATCGTTTTAAGATTGGCTTTTGATTGCAATTACTTCAGGGCACCAGGACTACTTCTCCGTGGAATCCCAGGAGGCTTCCTCAAACAGTAGTTTGGCAGCACCAAAACTTGCAGCTACCTTTTAAAACACTTGGAATTACAAAACAAGATCTCATCCGGCACTCACGTTCCATCCTCATTGCTTCTGTAGAACACCATGAAAGGGTCCGACTTGCCAAAGAAGTCCTTCTTATCCAGCTTGTTGGCACAGAACTGCATAGTGGCGCTGTCCTGTAGGAACACATGCAGATGTAGGGAGAGAAGTGTGAGATAAGTTGGGGGAAGGTATTATTTATGTGGCCTATTTCGCCCTTCTTCCCCTACTTCTTCTCTTTTATCTTCACTGCTTACAGTGGAATGGCAGATGGAGGCAGCTGTCTGTGCATCACACAATAAGATAATGAATACTGCATGAATGCTGTAATAGTTGTACCTACAGTATGTGTGTGTGGGTTTGTGTTTACTCGTATTCATATTTCTCGACATACTGCATATCTTATTTTTCACTGAGAAACAGAACCTTTTAATGTGATATTTTTTTAGATTTAGTTTAGAAAGCAAGTCTGCACATTGATCCACTTACAATAACCACACTAGTCGATCTGTGAGGCAGTTATGGTCATGATACACCAGAAAACCAGTTGGATAAATGACGGATGGATGACAACTTTGCCATTCTTGTCTTTACTACTAATAAGGCAAAACATATAACCTTTTTTGTGAGGGCACCACAAAATCACCTTGTCTGGCTCAACTCTGTATATTTATAATTTACCCCACTTTTTGTGACTCTGTTCTGCACATGTTGACCTCTCTGACCCAGCCATATGGCGGATGGAAATACTGTAAAAGAGCTGCAGAGCAGTGGTGTTGATTGTCTGTGTGAATGGCAGTACTAGTAACTCTAACATTGCATGAGTTTGACCACTAAATGGTCCTTCTATACCACACTGTGAACAAACTGATGCGGTAGCTGATGAAGCACATGATCTTAAATTTGCATAAGCTAATGCAGAATATTCAGAGTTAAAGGTTAAGTGTGTAACATTTAGGTGTTCACGTTTTACAGCCCCCATAGTTTTCTCCTCAGCACTTGGAAGGGGAGGGTGCAGCAAGGGATCTGTGACCTGCAACTACACCTCTAGATGTGACTAAATCCTACATACCTTTAAGGTCCATAGGTGTTAATGAACATGATTGAGTAGAAGATATAATGAATGTTCAGTTCAGTTGGGTTCAGTGTTTATTTCCATTTTTTTATCACATGACAGGCACCATGATTCACCACCTAACTGCTGGAGAAAAACATTTGTTACAGCAGGACTGGAATAATAGTAGGACTCAATGTCCTGTCCAGTACAAACCCTACACAAGCATACAAGTACAGACAGACAGCTGGAAAAAGGAAAAAGGAAAGACATGCTTGGAGAACTGTTTAATGAATCACATAGGTTAATATTTTGGAAAAACACTCTTCACTAATTTGTGTAAGGATGTGGGTGTAGACATATGACTATCTATTGTTGTTGTCTGTGTGAATGTGACCTGCTTGCATGCCCTCACTCTATGAACCACTGGCTGCCAGCCTAGCATACACTCTAGCTTTATCTATAAACACAGCCTAATGGTGTGTGTGTGTGTGTGTGTGTGTTTGTGTGTGTGTGTGTGTGTGTGTTCAACTATGCAGGCATTGTAATCCCTAACCATAGTACCATATCCACCCACCAGTGCTCCTGCTAACACTCTTGCCAGCTGCTTACCAAGTCTAATTCTAGCATGAGTAATGGCCATCAAGCTAACTTCTTCTGATACCTGTCATAGCATCTGGAAAGCATCAGATGCTTCAAGTATATTTCAGCCTCAGAGAAAGATCAAACTCAGAGCACAGTTTCTGCTTAGGGCTTTGTGTTTTTCTAATATGTTTTGAGGGCTTGTTTTAGTCAAATGTTGCCCCTAACGTTGTTCTCTGTTCAGAGCCATATTCACAACTTTTAAGGTGTCATTTAGGTTAGGATGCTATGTTTTGGATATAAATCAGTTTTTGCTTCAGAAATTGCAACGTAAAAATTACATTCGATTTTTGCATAATTCTTATAAAGCACAGACAAAGCTGTTAGATGGCCATTAAACTTTAATTCAGCTCAGAAACTGCTGGCCATAGTTAAGGCCACAAATCAGAGGACTTAAAAAGAGTGGGCCTACTCCATCAATTTAGCATTGCACTCCTATAACTCGGCTGGAGATTCAGTTGTTAGGAATACAAAAACACCGATTAATTTACGTGTACAAAAGCACAACTTTATTAGTAATTTGAGGGAAACTGGATCATATTTTATAGAGAATGTCTGGTTTTCCCTCTCATTTCCTCTGGCTGCTTTGCCTCAGCTCCACTAACTACTGCTGTAGCTGCTATTAGCGTGCAACGGAACGGGACTCAGCTGCCTCCCAGTGAACACAGCCTCCAGACAGGCGGAGGCTAGTTTGACGACATGAACTTGTTGCTAAAAGAATCTAACTGTTGCCAACAGTAATGCTAGATGGTTTTAGCTGAGTGGCAGGGGCCAAAAAGTCACCCCCGTACTTTATTTTCTGCACTGCATTCAGCCCCAGTCTCGCCATACTGTTAACTGGGAGCTCCAGATCCAGCAGAGTGAGCTAATGGGTCCACTTTGGTTGCTTGACCGGAGGGACGTAACACACAGCGCTATGGGCTACCACGACAAATCCCTCCCTAGCGGGTAATAGCACTCTGATTTCTGTTTCATGTGGACTTCAAATTTAGTTTTGGAAACCTTAAGCAGCCATCCATTTCAATTGTTTCACATTAGTAGGCCAGTAAAACATGACAATCATCTCCACAGTGGCATCTCATTATGTTTTACTTTGAGAACAGCATGCTGCTTCTCTGCTATTCCACAATTGCCCTCTAAATGACCAGATTAAATCAGAATGTGTAAAAGCAGGTGCAGTTACAAACAGCCAATGCACTTTTCACATTTCATGACACAAATGATATTTTACCATTATCATTATCTTGGCAACAGTTAATCTATTAACAAAATTATTTGGACAGTGGTATATTTATATGAAGAATTAACTGTGTCTGAAGGTGACCTAGGTCTACTGCAGACTCAAAAATTCAAAAAGACCATAAAACATTATATGTACCTTGAATAAATCAGAGACAAGCAGCAGATGCTGGGAGATTAATTCTAACTGCAAACCAGCTCTTACTCTGTAGTACTCTCTCTAACAAATAACTCTGATTGTGCATTTTCTCCACCAGTTGTTTATCATGAATTGTAGCACTTTTACCAACCCCAAATATAAATCACTTGCCTGTTGTTGAGGCTTGTATTACTTGTTTACTATTACCCCTCCCTCCTGTTCTTGGCTCTCTTTGTGTGGTGGCAGGGTAGGGGCCCAACTTATCTCTGGTGTATGGGCTGTAGCTAATCTCTGAAACACAGTGGGTTCATTACAGTATGTTCAGATGCTATAACAGTAGATTGTCAAAGCCTGAGGCCTTACACTGGGCAGCCATGGTGCCACTAATGATAGCTTAATAGCTTTTTAATGTTGCAGCTTGCACCTTGTGTGCCGAGTGGCAAATCAGCAAAAGAATGTGTGTGAGGTTGCAAGTGTGACAGACTGTGTGTGAGAGTGAGAGCAGGAGTGTTTCTGTGCACATATGCCGATGCCCATAATTAATTGCTGTATGCATCTTGCAACAGTGTCCTCTCTGTCTTTATCACACACAGCCAGGCACCGTGCAGCCCAGTCTTCCCTCTGACACACTCATGAACATATCCACTCCACTCCAGCAGCGAGGGGGAACTTTATCTGTATTCCAACCCTCACCCTGAGGACACATGCACACCAAATGTCTGCCATTTCACACAACCCTCCTACACAGAAGACTCACTCTGTTTAATTCTCTTAAAAACACTCCTTTAATCCCACTGGGGAATGCTGGCTCCCATGTTGTGTACTGATTGACACACACACACACACAGTTGAGGCTTATATCATCTGAACATATTAGAAATATTTGCTGTAGCAACAGATTTCATTTAATCTCTGTTGCTTTCTGTCTTGTATCCCTGGATACTGGATGTGTGTGTGTGTGTGTGTGTGTGTGTGTGTGTGTGTGTGTGTGTGTGTGTTTTCTACTTCAACAAGTACCTAACTTCAACAAGAACTGACTGTGACATTGTAGTCTCTCTAAACTTGAAAGCAGTGGATTGCAATGCACGTACAGCCGTGGGCTCCAGTTTTCTATCCACAGACTGAGATTTACATCACTTCCATGGCTAAAGTGCAAGATACAGTGCAGTAAGATCACAGCACCTTGATTTATCATCTTTAAATACGGTTTTCCTGTCTGGCTACCCAGACTCAGACACCTGCCTACTCCTGCATACCTGTATGTATGTATGTATGTATGTATGTAATGTATGTATGTATGTATATATACTGTATATATATGTATGTATGTGCAAGTTCATAGTAGAATTTTGTAGCTTTTCTTGGATCGTTTTGGTCTGCGTCTCCAGCAAAAGAAAATATGTTCGAAAATAAAGACAGACAAGCTGAGATTATTCATTAATGCATCCATGAACCACGTTCGTTAGTATGCACATTATGTCACAACAATAACAATGAATGGAGCTACAAATTCAAATGTATGGCTGCTGATAAATGATAAATCGCTATCCAAAACTTTGAAACTCTCTACGATTTAGATAGCTACTACATAAAATGCAAGCTGACTGGCAACATGTACAGTACGTTTGTGCCTCAGTTGTGTGGCCCTGAAGGAGCATTGTGGATTGTCCTGTTGAGTTTAATTTGCATGTTGTTGCCTTACTACCCACATTGACCATTTCATGTTAATTATAATATTGGGTATTATACATTTATGATAATAAATTCAACTGCAATTTCTTGAAAAAAAACATTGCTAAATTAATTGCTAGTTGCTCCTTACACCCAACTGGACCAGAATTGATAAAAGCAACCAATGCACAGATACTGTCATTCTGTCAGTTTAACATAACAGAGCAAGGTTTTCTGGTTTGCTCTACATGAATTAGATGAACTTCCAGTGACTTGCTGACCAGATTCACAAAGTAATCACATGTTACAGTGTTCGAACAGGCAGCTGCTGCTCTGAATCGGCGAGTGGGAGGACACACCAGGAAATCTCTGTGGAGCTAATAGGCACATAA